GATAATAAATTTTAGGGACTTAAGGGATTTTTCTTAAGCAAAGAGATTAAAAAGAAACTTTTTGTTAAAGTAGATGGACCAAAATGGGATTTTAAACATTGCTAAAAGACAACTTTAGAAGTGTTGATGGATGGCCCTACAACAAGCTTTGGATTCGTTTGATACCTTTAAAGGTCCTTGCTTTTATTTGGCAAACACTACAAGACAATATTGCTACAAAAAGAAAGTTGTTTCAAAGAGGCATTTTGAGTGACAATCAACTAAAAATGTTGCTTTTGTGATGACCAAGAAGACACAAACCATTACATTGCAATTTTGCCTCTAAAGTCTAGAATTTATGCTTGCAATGGTGGGGAATTGCTTCAATCATGGCTAAGGAAATCTTAGGGGCTTTCCAACAACAATTCTCATTATTCAAAGATAAATTAGTCACCAAAGGATGGGTAACTATTTGGTGCTTGGTGTTACAGGCAATGAGATGATCTTCTAGAAGAAAAATGCAAATGAGGCCATAGTCATGGTATTGGCAAAAAATAAGAGCTTTCCATTGGATATTAGGAAAATCAAAATTGCCAAGGTTTGGCTTCAATGAATGGAAACATGGACCAAAACTGAGCTTGAGAAAGTAAATAATTGCTATAACTAGTTTTTTGACCATGAGCTTTCATTTGACAATTAATAAGAATGTAATGGGTTAAAATACCCCTTAAATTCCCAAGCAATAAAACCATCTTTTTTGTTGTGCCAAAAAAAAAATGTCATGTAGTGGAGGGATATATGAGCATGATGTCATAATTACTGCAAAAAGAAAATGTTGTTTAGTACTTTCTATGTGTCTTGTACATTTTATAATTATTAATAAAAAGGGAATTTTCTTTAAATCTGAACTTGTTCTTGTTTCTATTAATAATTGTTCATTCCTCACTACAAGTGTGACATTTCTTGGATACATCATCACTGCCTAAGGCATCAAAATAAACCCAAGTAAGATTGATGCTATTGTCAACTAGCCTACACCAACATCTATGCTTGATGTTCAAAGCTTCCATGACCTAGCATTTTTTTTACTGAAGATTTATCAAGAATTTCAGTTCTATTGCCATCCCAATCAGTAACAATATTAAGGGAAACAAATTTTTATGGAGTGACAAAGCCCAAAAGAGCTTTGAAGAATTGAAGAAGAAGGTCACTAAAGCCC